GCAGGAGGACAGGGCGCCCCGCGCCGGGAACAGGGGCCCCAGCCCCTGTCCTGCCGTGTCCCTGGTGCACCCTCCTGCCCACACATTCCCGAGCAGCCTTGCCAGGCCTCGGCTCAGCACTGGAACTGCCGGCCCGGGGGTGCGGGCACAGACCCGCCTGTCTCCTCGGGCTCAGGGCGGTGCCGCCCTCCAGCTCGCCAGGGCGGCCAGCCTTCGGGTCTGCGGGGCGGCCTGGGTGTGCCTGCCTCCGGCTTGAGCTCTGAAGTCCGGCTGCAGGCGGCCCGCCCGCCCAGGGCAGAGACGCTCCTGTCTCCTCCCGCCTCTTGCTGGCTGGTTTTGCCTCTGTTGAGTCCTGCCGCGCGGCAGCAGGCCCCTGGAAGGCTGCCGAGGGCTTGGCCCAGGCCTCCTGGGGCAGTGTTGGAGCTGACGTGCCGTCAGGCCGGGCGGCAGGAAGTAAGGCCACCGCAGGCCTGGGCCTGCTGGCCTGTGGAGCCAGAGTCAGCGTCAAGACGGCCGGGGCCTCGCTGGGGACCCCGGGTGGGGTTCCGTAGTCTTCTGGGGCTCCTCGGCCCAGAGGAACCCCGGGCAGGGAGAGGTCCAACCCCCAGTGCGTGGGGCGGCCTGCGGGTCCAGCCAGGGACCTGGGTTGCCACTGTCAACTGGCTGCTTCCAAGATGGCCTGCTGCCCACCTGCTGTCCATGACTAAAGAGGGGGAAAGCTGAAGGGAAGCGCATGGAGTCAGGGGGTGTGGCTTCCTGGACCTGCCGCACCTGCCTGGGCTGTGGCAGAGCCAGGTCCCGCCCCTCCCGCCTGGGGGAAGGCTCCAGCCCTCCAGCCCACCGGTGGCCGAGCAGCCCAGGCAGGAGCATAAAGCCCTGGACATTCCCGCCCTCCCGCAGGCGGTGCTGCGCTGCTCAGGGCGCAGCTGCAGTAGGAACCGCTGTGGCTGCCAGAACAAGAACAGGCCTCCCGGCACCCGGAGCCACTGACCGCAGCGCCGCACGGCCCC